TTTGAAATAGTCTCAACTTTTCCTGCTTATCTCCAAAGAAAGGGAGAGTTCTTGGTTTTAGTGATGGGCTCTTGATGTTCTGATCAGGGTGATGGGTGAAGCTGTAGAACTCAGCAGGACAAGGGTATTTAATCACTATGCATAAAATGGGAAATAGAGCTACTGGGATTGTGGAGATGCTGAGGGGAGAGAATATCCAGGGGGAGGGAGAGATAAGCTAAGATAGGAATTAAGTCAATTCAGTTAAACAAATATATACTGTCACTTGCTATGTGTATAGCTCTGTGCCATGTGCTGTAAACAAAATCATTTTCTAGGTAAGGTCTTGGGTGGAGCCTAACTTTCTATACCTTCATATTCTCTACATGTACATATTTGTCCACCAGTTGTAGGTGTACACTGAGGGGAGTGTGCAGAGCAGATAGTATTAGCTCAGGTAGGGAGATCTGTTAACTCGGAGCATGAATTTGTTGAACTTCCTGGGACCGGGAGGACCTGCCACAGGATGTGGAGTCATTAATTTACCAGCTTTGTGACCTCTGACTGTCAATATTTCTTTATTGCTTAGTCTCTAAAATGGAAAAATCGCTTAACTTGCCTGAAGCCAGCAGTGTAGATCAGATGATATGTTAGACCCTCATCTAATGACAAGATATTATAATCTTAGAAAGTATTAGAACAGAATCATGTTTTCTAAGAGGCTTCTCCAGGAGACAGGTTTGGATCCGAATCTCTTTTGCAGCACTTACTAGTGGGTGATACTAGACAAGCTACTTAACATCTCTCATTTTCCATTTCCTCTTTTGTAGAGGAGGGATATCTCACAAAGTTGTTACAGGCATATTTCAGTTGCCGTAGAGTTGGCTCCAGCTCATGGTGACCTTCCGTATTATGGAACGACACGCGGCCCGGTTCTGCATCCTCCTCACCATTGTTGGCATGTCTGAGCCCATTGTTGCAACTATTGTGTCAATCCATCTCACGGATGATTTCCTTCATTTGTTTTAGGGATAAACCGAGATACTATCTGTGAAGCACTTTGCACAATTCCTGGTTCATGGAAAGCTCTCCATACCTGGTTAAGTATAAAGACAACCACACCCAGAACCAAATGCCTGGAGCTGGGTATCCTAGTCAGGTTTAAGAACTTACAGTTCCTTTCATATCAAAGATAAACCTAAGTAGACTACCCAGCTCCAGGTGTTTTCATTTAACAAGTTTGTCCCGATGTGTGCAATTATGCTGGCTCAAAAATGTAATAATTTGTTTCCCTTTATACAGATGATGCTATTTGCACAGATTTATTAATTTTCTTTCTCCTTGAAACTTATAACTGATTCCAAGTTTGTAGTAAGAACAATACAAAATTTTTAGCAGCCTTAAAAATACTAGATGGTTCTGTAGCCTGCAAATTAGAATGTTTATTCTCCCATCTTTTGGAGGTAGATAAATATGCCAGCATTCTCCTTTCTCACGTGGTCTGTTCTGAGAATGGCTGCTTCATTCCTCTCCTTCGTGATCAGAGGAGAGAATTGGAATTGCCTGAGACCCCATGTACCAGTGCTGAGATCCCAGGCAAAGACCAGGTGGTCTCATAACCACCCACTTGGAGTCAAGAAGTGAGGCCCTTACCAGTTGGGCCAGTCCTTGGCAAAATATTACAGTAGAATCAAGTTCATGTTCAGGCCCCTTCTATTTTTTACTTCCTCACTTTTGTTCCCTGACTATCCAAAGTATAAGTAGAATGGTTGTTTTTGCTTACTGATATTGTTTAAGTAACAATTAAGGCCTTTTCTGATAAGTACTTATGAGGCAACTCTTCCTGGGGTTTTAATTTTGAAATAATTATAGACTTGCAAGAAGTTGCACGTAAGTGAAACCTATGAGAGCTGGAACTCGACAGGACTGCCTTGTTTCTCTGGGTCTCGCACGTTTTCCGCCTTTGACAGGATGTAGTCTTACCACTTTTCTATTGCTCCCTATTAGTGGAAAATATGTGGGTTTTCCTTCTCTGACAGGTTTGAGCCTTGCATAGGTTCTGGCTCTCGCAGGTTTTACTGTATGTATATATATTTATATATGTGTGTATATATATATACATATATATAGCAGAGAGATCCCATAACTTTTCACCCAACCTCCCCTAATGCTAAAATCTTGCATAATTATCATACATCATCAAAACCAGGAAATGGACATTGACAATAAAATTAACTAGGCTACAGACAGAAGAATTTTTAAAAAATGAAAAATTCTCCAGGCTAAACGGAGCCCTCTGAACCTCCCTGCTGCCCCTGTGTGTTCTCCTCAGCTTCTGTGCTTGTCTGACTGTCTGATAATCCGATTACTTTGCTCTCTTCCTCACTCCATCCCTCCAGAGCAGGGATGATGCTGTATGCATCCTTTAGTCCTATTTCTTATTAAAGTACCTGACATTCAATAGTGGACTTGGTTAAAAGGATGACTAGTAATTGCTTAATTCTCAAAGCTTATTTATACATTTATACACATGATCTCTAGGAGAACATCCATGGTTTAGGGGAAAGGGCATAGACTCTGAAAACATTCAAATCTTGGTATTTGTTGGCTTGCATCTTGTGACAAGGCACTAAATGTTCTTGGCTCTGGATTTCTCAGGTGCTTAATTGTATCTACATCGCATAATTGTTGTGAAGATTCAAGGAGATAATCTATGTAATGAAGAACCAGATGCAGGGACTCTGAGAAGTAGGTAGGGTAAAGGATGTTAGTGCCATTTTACAAACTAGGGCCCAGAGAGGGCAAGTCATTTGTCAAAAATCACAGAGCTAGTACATGGCTGTGCTGCTAAGCACCTTAGGTCAGGCTTCTCCCATGATATCACATTGCCTTTCCCAGGTAACAAGAGAATGGATACAAAACAAAAACAAAAGCAACAACCGTGGGGAAGTCACAGACGGTTAAGAATTGGTCCTTGTGTATATCGTTGACCTCCTTTGTTATGTGCACTGGAATGCTTCTTGTAGCGGGGGCTGGGTGAGTTCTAAGCTAAAAGGTGAGCTGTGGATGTGGACTGCTATTTCAGGCGTCTCCACCAAGTGCCTCCCCCAACCCCAGTTAACACCATGAAGCCAAAGTCAGCCTCAGATGTTTGTGCCTTCATCCCTGGTAGAAGGCTTGGAGCTCCCAAATACTCACATTGCATTATCAAATTAAAAAAAACAAAACAAAACAAAACAAAAAACCAGAACCTAAATTTAAAAGAATGGACAGATTAGGGAGGGATCAGCCTCACCATCATTGCCATTGTCATCATCATCATCATTATCCACTTTCTGCTCAAGCAAATAACTTCTTATTAGCAAAAGAAAACATGCAGACGTGGAACTTTCTTACTAACCTGAAATGACTGGCAACACGTTAGCCAAAGTTGCTTCTCAACCTGCCCTGAACACCTTTTACATACCTTCCGGAATTCCTTATACTAGAATGCTCTGCAGCTTACTCAATCTATTCATTTCATTGAAATGGAATAGAAGATAAAATATGTTATTGATTTGTAAGGCTGCTGGCTGCAAACGCCGAAGACTCTGGTAGTTTAAATGCTGGATTATAATTAGAAATATCCAATTTTTGATAGTGGTTTGTAATTTGACTTTTTCTCCTCCACTTAAAAAAATGGAAATGTCAGTAAACAAGAATAGAGCTAGAGAAAGCGAGGAGCTAGAATATTTCTTCAGGAGTCAGGGTGGTTTTCCGGGTTTTGATGCTGTCCCCTACTGTTGACAGTGTAGGGAAGGTGTACCAGAGGCCAGAGTGGGGAGGAGAGACAGGGAAAGGAATCATTTGGGTGCAATACATGCCATCAGAACTGGGAATCAAATTCATCTGGTGACATCCCTCAACAGAATATCTTAGTGGAAACAAAACTTTTGCAAGCTTTTATGAGCTAGAGGAATCTAAACATGCTTGGAATTCTAAATGTGTTAAAGCTTAATCACTCCCCAGCATCAGAAGGAATTAAAGGTACTCAGAAAGTTTTCTTTCTTGGTTTGCTGGAACTTTCTCATCACTTATTTCCTAAGAAACAAAAGCATTCTATTTCTGTTTACATAATATAATTCAAACGGGGCTTCATGCAGAACAGCCGCTCACTTGCATTAGACTTTCTGAAACATAAACTCTGGCACACACAGGGAAAGTAAAACTTGTCATTGTCGGAGAAGTGTACCATCCATTTGGAGCTCATTGTGGGTGTACATGTGTGTGTACATGTGTGTGTGCCTTGTTTTTCTTTCAAGAAATAGTGAGAAATCTTGCTAAATAATACTAATAAAAGTTATATGAAGGCATCTTTCTGGGAGGAAGCACACCTATGATATCAACCCTCAAAGGGCAAGGAAGACAAAGCATTAAAACTACAAGGCAACCAGAACAACTGTGGACACTTCCCCGGCGCATTTCATTGGACATACTCCTTGTATAAAACCTCGTCTTTAAGGACTACTATTCTCTAAACATTATAATAATAATAATAAAAAAACCCCAAACCCACTGCTGTCAAATCGATCCCAACTCATAGCGATCCTATAGGACAGGGTAGAACTGCCCCATAGGGTTTCCAAGGCTGTAAATCTTTATGCAAGTAGACTGCCACATCTTTCTCCTAGGGAGCGGCTGGTAGGTTCAAACCACTGAACTTTCGGTTAGCAGCTGAGTGCTTAACCACTGCACCACCAGGGATCCTTAAACATTATAAAATTACTCATAAAAGAAGTGTCATATCAATTATAGAAATTAGCTGTTATGAAGCATAGTTCTATATAACATGCTAGTCTTGCTAGACTGTTGACTCTTCAAATAAATATCAGAAATTTATTAAAGATAACCCTGAAGTGAGGTAAAAATTCTATCAGAAAATATATTTTTATATATTAAAAGCATAATTAGTAAACATTTATACTTGTGCTCACTTCTGAATATACTAAAATATATATTAATTAAATACTGAGCATACTTACAATATTTTCCAATAACCAAGATGTAGAAGAAGACAGGACCAGATGTCATTTCTTTCTTCCCGAACAACTGATTGATAGAAATGGATAGAATTTGGTCTTGGTTTCTGAGTAGCATACAGCTCAGGGTGGTTGCAAGCTATTTCTGTCTGCAATCTTAGCAGCTATGAAACGGTCCTCCCTCCTTCCTCTTCCATCCCCTTTCCCTCCCTCGCTCCATTCTCTCTTCTTTTCTTTCTTCCTTTCTCTCTCTCAGGATCTCTCCTCCCCACCCTGCTTCTCTAAGTCTTAATCTCGTATGTGCGCGCACACACACACACACACACACACACACACACAGAGCTGAGCGGTGAGGAAAAGTTTGAGAGAGAGAACACAGTCTTTTCTGGTTCATTCAAACATTTGTCTTTACGTCCTGCGACAGTCTACAAATGAGGGTGTGTACAGACACTGACAGATGACTGAATGGATCGAAGTCTCCCTCCTAGAGAGAAGCTGAGCTAGAGGTATATTACAAACAACAAAAAAACAAAATTACTTTTCCTATTATTTGGGGCCAGAAAAAGAAAAGAACCACACCAGGCAAAATACCTTTGTGGAATTAACGATCAGGCAGGAATTAAAGTGGAAACAATCTTACGTGATCTGTCCAAATTTAGGAATTTGAATAATACAACATCGTTCAAAGAAAAACCCAGAGGGATAAAAAAATCCTAAATTCTCTTGAACTGGTGACATGTTATTGGCTGTGGAGTAAAGTCCTCCTGAGTGTGACTCATACTCTGTTACTTTATAGCTGTGTATTTGCTTACTCTTGCTGGACCGTGTGTGGCTTCATCCTCTGTAATAGGAGGGAAATATCTATCCTGCAGGGTAGCTAGAATCACCAGTACATTGAGTGCCTGGCGTGGGTTCTAGGGCATAATAGGTGATTAGTAAATGGCAACCGTTGATATGATGATGATTTTTATTATTTGATCAGTGAAAAAAAAAAAAAAGTGCGAATGAGAATAACATTGTCTATAGAATGTATTTTCTTTTAACCAGGCTACGTCATTCTTATTTTGTGATGGGGGAATGTGTTGCTAGAACAAATGGGTAGCACATTGATAGGAGAAGTTTGTTTGTGAGGTTAATGCCTCCTAACAACTCCACATCTGGAGTCTGATTACATTACATGTCTTTATATCATTGACTCCAATATAAGAAGTCTGTTTCTAAACAATGGCTAGAAGTTTACAATAACATTGATTTTTTTTTTCCTTCTGTACATATAATTTGAAGTGCTTGGATGGCGCAGATGGTTAACATGCTTGGCTGCTAATCAAAAGATTGGAGGTTCTTGTTCGCCCAGAGGAGCCTCAGAAGAAAGTCCTGGAGATCTACTTCTGAAAAGTCAGCTGTTGAAAACCCTATGTCAGAGTGGAACTGCTGACACACGTAGGGTAACCATGAGTCTACTGGACAGCGACGGGTACGGGTAGATGTAATTCATTCCATGAGAGGAGAAATGAAGTACAGAAATCTTGACAAGTCCTAGATGTATTTAATGAAGACATGGTTCTTTTGGTAGACCTACTTGTGTTGAACTGAATTTGAATTCCAATAAAATGGTCAATATTCTTCCTCATTTTTGCAATGTTTCAAGAATGTAGCGTGGGTGGCAAATGGATTATTTATTTATTTTAGAAATAATTTTTCCTGGAAGGATCTTGTGGGACTTTATCAGCGGCAATATCTGAAGAGGGACTCACAGAAAGCTTCTCAACAGTAAATGAGGGAACTTCATTTGTGAGTCGCCCTGGTATAGAGTAATCTAGTGCTACAGAGATCCACAAAGTAATTCGGATGTTTTTTGTTGTCTTTGAAAATTTTACCTGAGCTGGTATCACAGACATAAACAATTAGTGGACAAGTAGCTAGTAGGTACTCTTTAACAATATATGCATGAATGCATTTTTAATCTACTTAAACCATCAGTGAAAAACCTCAAAAATCATAGCTCACATCTCATAAAATCATACCTCTTTTATTAAGAATATATTACATTTTGATAAAATAGATACTTACCTAAAAAAACAATTTTAGACATTTGTCATCTTGGGATGACACTTCTTCATTTTTGCCAAAGGCATTGAACCTAGAATATTAGTTCTATATAAATACATTTGTGGGAAAAACCCAAGAATGAACATAGAGTATCCCTACCATCCACTCCAGCGGGGTTCCTCACCAGTGACACTATTGGTATTTTTGGCCAGAGAATTCATTACTGTAGGGGACTGTCCTCTGCACTGTAGGATGTTTAGCAGCATCCGTGGCAATTAAAAGTGTCTCGAGACATTGCCAAATGTCCCTGGGGGGAGGGAGGGTCACTACTGATTGGGAACCACTACGCTGTAGCAAAAGACTTCCTGAACAGTGTTTGGCTAGTGAGTTTTACCAGACAATAAAACAGAGTTCTTCTTACCTAACGTTTGAATTAAAGTGTGTTTTCTCATTCTCCCGTTTTGCTGTTTGAAGACATACATTAAAGAATTTAAAAAAACAAACAAACAGATGATGTATGTTCCTAGCCTTCTCTTCCTGCCCACATTGTTCAATTATAACTTGTACTACAGACCTGATAGAATCTGTGACGTCAGTGCCTCTGCTTGGCTGAGCACGTTAGGGTTTTCTACCCTAGGTTAGGTGATGACAGGCTAATAGAGGTTAACACGTTTTCTTAACTTGGAATCTTTTCTTGAAAACTTATTGAAGCTCTCTCAATAATAACAAAATTTGCTGTCTGAAAATGACTTTTCATAACAACCTGGAGAGGCAAGGCAGACAAGTGATGGAGTCCCTGGGTGGTGCAAATGTTTAACATGCTTCACTGCTAACCAAAAGGTTGGTGGTTCTAGTCCACCCAGTGACACTTTAGAAGAAAGCCCTGGTGGTCTACTTCTGAAATATCAGCCTTGAAAACACTATGGAGCACAGTTCTACTCTGACACACTTGGGATTGCCATGAGTTGAAATCGACTCGATGGCAACTTGTTTGATATTTCTTAATATACATCCAAGTTTCTAACATTGTCCAGTGATCTTTCCTTCCGCCATGACTGAAATAGACCATTACACTCTTCAACCATACTTTAAAATTAGATAATGACACTTGAGGTCTTTTGCCCACGCTTCTGAACATATTCGCCACCATCATTTTCAACGGTAGAAACCGCCATTTTATTAAGTGTTTCTTTGATTTGTAGAGCTGGGGAAGTCCCTTGGAAAGAGGCTGGTAAAATCCCAATCAGAACCTTGTGATATAAACATATTCAGGTCATAGTACATCAGCTCATAAATTAAGAATGTTCAGTACAACCCAAGAACTAAAATGATGCTGTCAAATTGTTCAACCTATGGATCCATTTCTAGCTGACAGCTGTCAGTCAGGTAAGACTCTTGAGATGCTCATTATCTCTAAGTCACACCAGAAGACAATTTTAGCTGTCTTGATTTAGCGTTAATTAAGCAATTTCGAAATGAGTGACTTTTGGGGAATGGTATAAAGCAACCCGTACAATTGAGACATAGCAATTAATAGGCACAGATATATGCCAAAAGATATTTTATACAAAGTCTGAACAATTTTGCCCCAGATGAAAAGCAATCAGAAGCTATGATGTAATTTTAACAGAAAATCAACAATTAAATGCTAAGCAAAGTCCCACATGGATTTATGTGCTGCCATATACCCCATTGAGGGATATGGGACAACAATCAGACTTTAGTCAGCCTATGCAAAACTGATATTGGGAAGACAATGAGGACAGGACCAGCAAGCTGGTCGCCCAGTGGTTAAGTGCTTGGCTGCTAACCAAAGTCTGGCAGTTCGAATCCACCAGCCACTCCTTGGAAACCCTAAAGGGCAGTTCTACTCTGTTGTACAGGGGTGCTATGAGTTGGAATCAACTCAACAGCAATGGGTGTATATATATTTACCAGTGGCCACTGAGTCAACTTATGGTGACTCCACATATGTTAGAGTAGAACTATGCTCTATAGGGTTTTCAATGGCTAGTTTTTTGAAGTGTATATCCAGGCCTTTCTCCTGAGGTGCCTCTGGGTGGACTTGAACCTCCAACATTTTGGTTAGTAGCCAGGTACGTTAACTGTTTGCTTCACCCAGGGACTCCAAACATTGCCTGGCTCTGTGCCATCTCCATGATCAGCTGTGGGAGACCACTGTGATCCATATATATCCCTATCTCTCTCTATTTCTATCTCCCTGTCTATCTATCTGTCTGTCTGTCTGTCCATATCTATCACAGTAAATACCAGCTGATAGCATTTGTTAACTGCAAACTATGCGCAGAGTTCAGTATTATCAACCCCGTCTTATGTAATTCCCTCAAACATTCAAGCTTCAGGCTCTTTCTGTCTAGAATGAACCTACATAGTTTAAGACTGGAGCCCTGGTGGCGCAGTGGTTAAGACAGCGGCTGCTAACCAGAAGGTTGGCAGTTCTAGGCCACCAGCCGCTCCTTGGAAACCCTATGGGGGCAGTTCTACTCTGTCCTATAGGGTTGCTAGGAGTTGAAATTAACTCAGCAGCAGTGGGTTTGGTTCTTTCTTGGTTTGCTGTAAGACTGACAGTATAAAAGGTGTAATATAGTTGGTTGACTGAGCCACTGGATGGGATCTGAAAATTCACCTTGCGGTTTCGTGTCTGCTAACCTGTGTGCTCTCTGAGCAGGCATCTCCTTCTTCCTTCACAGCCCCACTGCACACTTGATGGCACCTCAGCTTCCTTGATATGGCAGGAGCCTTGCCTCTAAGCTGAGCTCACTGGCTTATAATTTAGCTTGCTCTTAACTTCACGGGGTCAGCCCCACAGGAGATTTAGTCCTCTTAGCCCTAGCCTAGTAACTTCAGTTTCCTCCCCTTTTAGTGCTGTCGGCCTACCGCTGCTCTCTCTGCATACCTCATTTCAGACTACCTGATTTATACAAGGGGCATGTCCCACATGCTGGAGGGGAGAACAGAATGGAAAAAGAAAGGGGGTTTGTTCCAGCAGTGCCAGCAGCAGACTGGGAGTTGCGGTCCCAAGTTTACTCCTGATTAGCCATGTAACCTCTGACAGGTCACTTAAATGCTCTGGTCTTCAGTTGCCTTATTTGTAATACAAGGTCATTTTGGCTGACCTTTTAGATCAATTATAGCTTTATCATGTTATGAAAGTTAATTTCTAAATTATTTATGGAGACAGAAGGGACATCCATGAATTACCTAAAAGATATTTTTGCCACATCTCTCAAATTGGTTCCATGCACGCAAA